AAGAAAACACCCAAGCAGACGCCCTGGCGGCAATCAGATCTTGTCTGGGGGCAGAAATCAACAACAACATCCCTTTCATCCATTTGACGAGTCCAGCGATTGACAGATCAGAGTCCGTTAGTGCTATCAATCCGTCCTCACAAGATGATTGGATGCATCCATACATAGCATAATTGAAACACGACATCCTACCAGCCGACAAAAAGGAAGCTAAGGCATTTCTTTCCAAGGTAACTAAATTCCTATTGATTGATGATGTTTTGTTTAAAAGATCTAAAGCAGGTCCATACCAAAGATGTTTGGCACCTCAAGAGGCCGTCAAAGTGTTAAAAGACCTTCATGAAGGGGAATGTGGAAACCACGCTGCTGGGAGAAGTTTGTCCAACAAAGCTCTCAGATTTGGATACTATTGACCAACCATGAGACAAGACGCAGTAATTTTCACAAAGAGTTGTCAGCCATGTCAAAAGCACGGGCCAATCCGTCATCAGCCCTCCGAGTCGCTTCATCCCGTTCTGTCACCATGGCCCTTTATGAAATGGGGAATGGACATTGTTGGGAAATTGCCAGAAGCTCCGGGTCAGAAGGTTTACATGTTGGCAATGACGGATTACTTCTCAAAATGGGTGGAAGCCGAAGCATTCCGTCAGGTACGTGATGAACAGGTAATATCTTTTATCAGGCGAAATATACTTTGCAGGTTTGGCATTCCGTCAGAGATCGTGTGTGATAACGGGTCCCAGTTCATAAGCGCAAAGACCCGACGCTTTTGTGAAAGGTACAACATCAAGTTGGGCTGACAGAACGACTCCAAAGAATGCGACCGGACAAACTCCTTTCTCTTTGGTGTATGGCTGTGAGGCGGTTATACCGGCAGAGGTTGAAGTACCGTCCTCAAGATACGGTCTTATGACCGAAGAGCGGAACAACGCCGAATTGATACATGATCTGGATACCATTGATGAGATTAGGGAGAGGGCCAAGGTCCGTCTACAATCTTATCAACAAATGGTGGCCAAAAGCTTTAACAAAAGCGTTCGGGCAAAGGTGTTTAAGAAGGGAGATTGGGTTTTGAGAAGAATGTTTGGAAATGAAGCGAGTGGAAAATTCAGCCCTAATTGGGAAGGCCCGTACAAGATCGTTGACATTGTTGGACAGGGGGCATATCGCTTGGAATCAATTGAGAGTAAACAAGTCCCTAGAAGTTGGAACGCGGTACACCTTAAACTTTTCCATTTCTAATTTTGTTATATTTTATTTATTTAAGACAACCTACTAACTTAATCATCGGAGGGCCGTTGGCTTAGGGCCAACGACCAATCCTAACGACATTTTGAGTGCAGGAAACTGAATGAGGCGCCAGGTAAATCTCTTTGATACGTCGCACAATAAGTCCATGACGTATCGGGTACGACGGATCTGTCAAAACGTCATGGTCAGTCTGTACGTCACTTTGAGGTCTTGTCTTACTTTGATCCCTGACAGATCAGTGAGTTTAATCTGAAAAATCTCATATCATTTATAAAACCGAGTGAATGATTTAGAATAGATTGAGTCTAGTTAAAATTTGGTTTCTTTAATAATCTATGCATTTTCCTTTGAATTATATTGTACATGATTAACTTATCTCATTTCTAGGCTTTAGTTCAATAAATTTTGGATCCTTTATGGAATCATTCTGTGGTCATCTTGTTTAGAGAAAGTTGTGACGTATTCAGTATAAAGTATACATTTATGCTTCAAGATAGATTCATTGCTTTTACTGACTTAACCATCGGAGGGCCGTTGGCCCAAAGCCAATGGCCAGCTTTGACGGTTTTTAATGGATGCAGGAATATCTCAAAGCATAAGATCAAGCAGTTACCGAGGCAACTAAGATGTCAACCATGCGCACGCCGGTTACATATTATACACTAACATCAAATGGGAAAGGGCTGGGCTGCCCATGAGAAGATCATGGATAACAGTCCCAGCCGACCCTTACAACATATATATTTTTTGGCCAAAACCTACACACATATATGACAACGCACGTGCAACCAAAACATATATGACACCGCACGTGCAACCGAAACGTATATGACAACACACGTACATCAAAAAATACAGAACTACACAACGAAAGCACACGCTCCAACATAAGGAGACAATACAAACGACAAACGGAATGCTATTTAAAGTTTTTGCAGGATATGGACCAAGTTCACACAACACATCTCGCCATCTTCAACGATGGATGATGTTCCCGTCACTAGATGAAGTGTCGACATCAATATGAAAGATGTTGCAGATTTCCGTCACCGAGTCGTCAAGACAACTTTGGAGGAGAGAAGATAACATGTCAGCCTTCAGTTTTCGTTGTTTTAGTTGAGGAGACGGATTCGATCGATGGTTATTCCGAAGAAAGACGGAAACGTTTCGTCAACCGAAGTCGTCAATATGTCACAACAAGTCGTTGATGAGTCGATGGTTATTCCGAAGAAAGACGGAAACGTTTCGTCAACAAGTCACAACAGCAGGTGAAGTGTTGCTCTTTCAAAATTTCGACAAGTTACCGCTTAATGATTCGACCATGCATTGTACGCGCCAACTTCTCGAAAGGGGGCAATTGTTAATGCAATTAGTTGGCAATATATTTTGCATTAAAGAGAGATGATCACAAAAGTTAATGAGGCTTAATGATGGCTGTTGTAACGGATTTGTGTTTATTATTGGAGTTATCAACGATATTAAGGCTAGAGGTTACTTATTTTGAGCTGGCCAGCATTGATGACGAGTTGCGAAACTGACGGGTCGAAACCGTTACGTCAAACTGCCAAAACGGGCAAATAGAGTCATTGAAGCGTCAAGAATATCATTTTTAAATATTGTAGCGTTTTTTGTACATTATTAGGCTCCTTAATGTGATTAAGGAAGGTATTAAATGTGTTTGACCAGCCTTTATGACGGATTTGAATCCGTCAGTACGTAACGGATGGCCAATCCGTCAATAACGTAAAAACTCATCATTAGGGCTTTAATTACCTTTCCTATAAATAATATAGCCTCATTGTAATCAGGGCAGCTGAAACATTCGAATAACACACAAGTTTTCATTCTTATTCACTCTCTTGTCATCTCCTTCTCTATTCTTGTTCGAAGCCCTTTCTTTATACAAATTCCTTTTTAATTAGTTTTAGCTTATCAATATTTTGCTTAAACAATGGATATTACAAGGCAGCTACTAGCTAGCAACTTGGATTAGGTTGAAGAGATAAAAACAGGCAAGGATGGGACGGTGTTTTCATATACCCAACACATGTACAATATAAGCAATGATGCAGAAAGAACACGCAAAGCCTTAAATGTGTGGAAATCTAACATGCTATGTTACACCACACGTACGTACGTAGACCTCAACGCACCAAGAAACGCGGGTTCTATCGCCCACACCATCCAAGCTTTCTATAATAATTTCATTATATTCTCATTGTCCCTTGATAAGAATCGCAAATTATACCGGGAGATTGGTATACCATGTGCATGATATATTCTCATTGTCCCTTGATAAGAATCGCAAATTATACCGTGAGTTTGGTATACCATGTGCATTATATATTAGTCCCATGCTCTCTCTAATTGCACCGCTGCTATCCTTTGGTCACCGTGCTCTCTCTAGTGGCACTGCTTTCTTCTGTTCTTTTTCCTTTTTTACTTTTATTTTTTTAATAATCAAAAGCGAGAAATCATTGAGTCATGTTTCAAAATGATTTTTTAACTCTAGGAACACGGGAATATAGTATTAGTCAAATTTTTATCATCTCAAAATAAATCAATTACTTTTTTTTCTATGTTAGTGCTTATTCATACACTTCTCTTTCCTTCCTTTTTTCTTCAATTGAAATTAAAATAAAATTTATTTTTTATGTAATACGTAGTATTTTTTTATATATTTGTACACCTTTTTAATAATTATTTTTTCATATTCATGCACTTTTTCATATAATATATTTCTTATCTTCTTTACATGTTTTAGTGTTTTAAGATATTAAATTTGTTTATTTTGAGCTACATTTGATAAAATATGATATTATATTTTCATATGTGTGGTTTATTTTCATAAATATTTGTTCGGAAAAAATGATTTTTATTTAAAACATTTTTATGGCCTTAATATTAAAAACAAAATGTAATCACTATTTACGTAAATTAATTGAGCAATTACACTCCTTTTTTCATTTTTTATAATTGATAGTATTATATGGAGTTACATCTTCATATGCGCAAGTTACACTTTTTTATGCATGAGTTACATCTTCCTATATGCGAGTTACATTTGGACTTGTCACAACATGTTACATTGTGCATACACCTAAGTTAGATTATTCATCAACACGAGTTACATTTTCCATTACATGAGTCACATCACATAATAAACATCTACTATTGAAATAAAAAAATGATTTGTTTTGCAAAAAAAAAAAAGATTTATTTGGCAAACAAATTTTTTTTACTTAAACCATTTTTATGGCCTTATGCACAAACTAAAAACAAAACATATGAAAATTTACGTTAATTATCGAGCAATTAGATTCCTTGTTTTCATTGTTTATATTTGATAGTACATGAAGTTACATCTTCTCATGCACGAATTACATCTTTTTTATGTGTGAGTTACATTTTTCTATGCGCGTGTTACATTTGGACTTGCCTTAACAAATTACATTTTGCATATTCCTAAGTTATATTTTCCATTATTTCAATTTACATTTTCCATAGCATGTGTAACATCACAAAACAAACCTCTGCTATTGAAATAAAACAAAAAATCATTTTGTTTTGCAAAAAAATGATTTTTTGGTAAAACTAATTTTTGGGCAAATAACAATTTTATAAACATTTTTTATGGTCTTAATACCAAGGATAATACCAAAGACTTTTGGCTGGACAAAACTAGGACTAGATTTAAATTGGACAAAAAAGAGATTAATTTTAAATCAATGGACTGATAGGCCCCTGCCCGGCTATCCCTATCCCTCCTTCGAAACTGTCCGCTTCTCCTCTCCCAATCCTTCCTGTCGAAACTGTCCACTTCTCTTCAAAGCTTACACCATCGATCGCCGCAGCCGCCCTTCACCGCCGCATCCCCTTCACCGCCGCCAGTCCGCAACTGCATCATCTCTACAATGAAGACCGATTCTGCATCAACAAGATCGACGATGAATCGGGCTATTAGTTTCAGATCAGTGGGGACAGGGATTCGGGGCAGGGTGCGGGGCGTGTGTGTCTAGGGTTCTACTTATGGGTCAAGCGCGGCGAGCGGCTAGGCTTCCTCTGCTCAGTGCTAGATCTGGGGGCGGGGTACTGAGGTGCGATGCAACGGCTACAGAAGTCAGGGTGAGGGGGTGGGGCGGCGATTGTCTAAGGTTTATGAGCGGGTTGAGCAGGGCGGCGTAGGGACGGGGCCGGCGTGGCTGGCGGTGGCAGGGGGTTGGGTAGGCTGGAGCCAGTTGGGGCTAGAGAAGGGCTGAGGAGGCTGGCCAATGGATAGGGGAGGGGCTCCTTGACATGGCGGTTGGGCAGGGGCGGTGGCCGGTAGACGGCAGTGGCACGGGGTTGGGTAGGCTGGAGTTGGGTTGGGGCCAGAGACGGGCTGAGGAGGCCGGCCACTGAAGAGGAGAGGGGCTTATTGACGAGGCAGTTGAGCAGGGGCGGTGGCCAGCGATGGCCGGCGGTGGCGGTGGCTAGCGTGCGGATGAGTGTAATTGGCCCGTGCGGATAAATGTAACTAGATGTTTCGAGTAATTGTAAGTGATTGGTCGGATCAGATAATTGTAATTGATTGGATTGAGTGACTCTAATTGATTTGTTTAGGTAATTGTAAATGGTTGATACGAGTATTTGTAAATGGTTGAAACGAGTAACTGTAACTGGTTGGACAGGGTAACTGTAACTGGTCGGATCTGATAACTGTAACTTATTGGATCGAGTAACTATAAATGATCGGGTAATTGTAATTGGTCGGGTCATGTAATTGTAACTGGTTGAGTCAGGTAATTGTAACTGATCGAATTCGGTAATTGTAATTGATCGGGTCGGGTAATTGTAACTGATCAAGTAATTATAATTGACATTGAATACTTCTAACTCGTCGGGCCAGTAATTGTAACCGGACAGGTTAAATAATTTTAAATATCTATCGGGTTACCTTACTTTCTTATTTTTGATTGATTTAGATAATCAAATAAAAAAGATTGGATTTTAAGTTCTGTTTGTGAAAATAGGCTAAGAGCCCGTTTGGAGAACTCTGTTTTCGGCTTATCAGACTTATCAGCCAGCTTTTTCACCAAACATGTAACTTTTACTTTCGCGCGCTGAATTGTGTAATAAGCCGAAAAAGTAAGGTTGGAGTTACTTTTCTGGCTGTATTGGCTGAAGTTATTGTAGAGGACCATTTTAGCTATTTTTACATATAATTTTTTCTTTAATTTATTAATAAAATATATTTTTAAAATATTTTTTTCTTAAATCAGCATAATCAGCCAAAACAGCCACTCCAGCCAGAATATCATAAATTTCAGCAGAATCAGCCAAAACAGCCGATTTTGGTGCTACCAAACGGGCTCTAAACATTTTTTGAATCTTGGAAGTTGCTCACTTGCTGTTGGCCTGTAGCATTTGAGGAACGTAGAATGTGGTTAACAACGCGGGGGGCGAAGCATTTATTTGTAATAAGGGCACCTTTGACATTTCATCCTAATTTTTTTAAGTGATTCACACAGTTGGTCCTTTTCTGTCATTTGTTTAAACAGATCTTAGATTTGTCAAAATGTTTTTAATTAGTATTATCTATGACCTAACCTCTATTTTATAAACAATTTTATAACAATGTTTTGGGCAAATAACAATTTCATAAACATTTTTTATGGTCTTAATATTAAAAACCAAACATATTAGTATTTAAGTAAAGTAATTGAGCAATTAGATTATTTGTTTTTATTGTTTACTATACCTTGAAATCAATGTTTTATTCGTTATACTCCGGATTAGACAAGTTACATTTCGACTTATCTGCAGTTAAATTTATTATCAGTGTGAGTTACACTTATTTACACGCGATTTACATCTTTCTGCTACTGGGACAAGGGAAAAAATTACTGTTCACGCGTGTTTTCAGCCGTGGGAGTCCCATGCTCACTGTGGCCTGTGGGTTGCTCCCACAGTCTAACAATAAAAATCCCTCTACTTTTTTAAACATTCCAAATATAAATTCATACTCCGTACTTCTTTAAGAATCTGATAAGTTAGTATTTCAACATGCATTTGATGCGTGTTGGGGTCGATTTTTTATGGTTCTCCTAGCTCTAAGGTGTTATAAGTCTCAATTTTAGCTCAAGTTATGTTTAACGGGCGTTGGTTCGAGTTTTGTATTGTTTGGAGTCAAAATCAGGAAATTGGAGTCTAGCACTGGCGCTTGAGAGGCAATCGGGACGACTTGATGAGCATTCCAGAGTGATTCGAGAGTTATGGAGGCCACCGGGAGGTTCACTACAATGATTTGATGAAGAAAGAGCTTAAGATCACGAAGCATTTGGAGCAAGAGACCGAAGTTTATGTGCACATTTGAGGCACGCACGGCCGTACCTAGGCGTTACGCGCGCCGTGCATACGCGGAAGACAAGCCAGGCGACGGAAATCAGCAGGCACGTTGTGCCTGTAGAAGGATTGCACGAGGAGGCTATTGCCAGCCAGGCACGATCGTGCCTGGCCATGATGACAGGTGCGTATGTTCCGGAGGCACGGTTGCTAGGCACGCCGTGCCTGCGCGGGAAGTCCTAGTTTGAGCCTAATTTTTCCTATATGCTATAAATAAAACCTCGATAACCCCATTTTGAGGTTACAAAATTTTATGATAGGCCTAGGGACGAGTTTTACGTTGTTTTTCCGCTATTTTGTTCAACACTAAGATTATTTGTAAGTTCCTACTTTTTTTTATTGATGACAAATAATTCTGTTCATCCCAATTCTATTGATTATTCAATTATGAGTTGTGAGTAGTTTCAATTAAGGATTTGAGATTGATGAAAGGGTTGATCATGATGTATGACTAAATTATTCATGATTGATTAATTGCATGAATGCATTTAATTTGTGTTTGAATGATTTAATTGATATCTCTTGTAACATAGAACTGCAGCTAGAATTACAATTGCTTGTAGAAAGAGAACTATTTATTCTAGGACACCTTCACACACAGTACTTAATCATTCGCTAAGAGATTAGTAGCGATTAAGGGTTCGTACGCTCGCTCGTTTTGGCAATAATTTAGGATCCTGTCGCATGAGAGATTAGTCTGGTCCCCTAAATTATTGTACTCTACGTCGCGAGAGCGGAAAGAACTTAGTAATGATTTGTGTTGCTCAATTAAATTAATTTCATGTAATTAAACTTGATCGGCCAGAAATCTGGTTACCCCAAAATCAATCCCTATTCCCTTCGTCGTTAATTAGAAAGAACCAAACTTTTCAATCGTTTTAATCGCATTTTAATTTTCCAAATCACCAATCTCGCACAATTGTTTTTTATTTTATTTCTTTTTAATCGCTGAATTTATTTCATTCTTAATTCCCTTTGCCCGTCCCTGTGGAGATGATACTCCTACTTTCACCACTTTACTACTATCATTTTAAGTGTGAGAAAACTCACATAAGAATCCCTTTATTTTTTGAAACGTTCCAAATAAATTCATACTTCTTTACCTCTCCTTTTATAGTTATGTTTTAAGAACTGGATGGGGAAGTGATCCATACAAATGACTGGTTTACGGGTCAACTTTGACCCGGCGGATCAACCCGGTCACCACCAATACATATAATTATATAAAATTTAACTCCATACATATCAAAATTATATCCCTTCATAAATTAATATTGATCATACAATATAAGCAATGTCCAATGACGGGCACTTTGTCACGGTGCGTCAAAATAAATTCAATACTAGCACTAATACGTAGTATAGTGAAGTAGAGTTCGTATCCACAGGGAAAAGAATAATTCTCTTTTTAGTAAAACTAGTAAATAAGAGGGGTTTTGGGATTGAGTGATTTAATTAAATTAAACACGAAGATGAACGACTTATATGAGTTTTAATTCAAAGATAAAAGGGACTTGGCATTGCTACTTTCCACTTGTTGATATATATTTTAGTCGATCATTGTTATATCTATAACTTGTCTCCTCTCGAATACTCAATCGAGGAGTATATCCAATTCATCGAGGGTAGTTATTAACAACGACCGTTCATTAATAACCCTTACTATTAGTCAAGTATAGAACACCGCCATATACCGACTTAATAGTAGCATTTAATCTCTTAACTCCTTGATGAAATCAATTGAGATTGATAACCTCAACACAACGGTTTCGGTTTAACCAACAAAATTAATCCCTCTTAAGTTTATTAACCACGACCGTGCATTAATAAATCGAAGTTACTTACTTGTGAAACCATCAACGATTAACCATCGGAACGTGTGATTGAAGGTGGTCCGTGGATTTTCGAACATAATTTGTTAATTCTTCGGGCGTTAAAGCCAGGGGATGTGCCCCTTCGTGTTCCTTTAAATGAAACTGAATTTCGGGTTCAAGTGCATGATGTCCCATATGATTTTATGAACTTGGGGGCTGCCAGGAGGATTGAGAATTCTATTGGTAATTTGTTATTAGTTTTGATACGAGTCAATTTGAAAAAAAATGGAAAACTTATACGAGGATTAGTGTTTCCCTGGATGTGGGGAAACCGCTGAAGGTAGGCACGACCCTCAGGAAGGGGCAGGGAGAAGAACACTGGGTTGAAATTAAATATGAAAAGTTGCCTAACTTTTGCTTTGTCTGTGGTATTATAGGGCATGCTGACAGGTTCTGCCTTTTGACTTATGAGAATAAAACTGCGGAGACAACAAAGGCAGGCATATGGGGTCGGTCTGCGTGCAGGAGGAGGGAGGAGGTCTCAGTCATTGGGGGGAAATAAATGGCTTGTCCTGGAAGGACAGGGATTGAGGGTCCAAGTAGAAGGGATTGGGTATTGACGAGCACTTTGTCACGGTGCGTCAAAATAAATTCAATACTAACACTTATACGTAGTATAGCGTAGTAGAGTTCGTATCCACATGGAAAGGAATAATTTTCTTTTTATAAAACTAGTAAATAAAAGGGTGGTTTAGGATTAAATGATTTAATTTAATTAAACACAAAGATGAACAACTTATATGTGATTTAATTTAAAGATAAAAAGGACATGACATTGCTACTTTCCACTTGTTGACATATTTTAGTCGATCATTGTTATATCTATAACTTATCCCTTCTCGAATACTCAATCGAGGAGTATATCCAATTCATCGAGGGTAGTTATTAACAACGACCGTTCATTAATAACCCTTACTATTAGTCAAGTATAAAACACCGCCATATACCGACTTGATAGTAGCATTTAATCTCTTAGCTCCTTGATGAAATCAATTGAAATTGATAACATCAACACAACGATTTTGGTTTAACCAACAAAATTAATCCCTCTTAAGTTTATTAACCACGACCGTGCATTAATAAACCGAAGTTACTTACTTGTGAAACTATCAACGATTAACAGGCGTATTCGTCAATCGATTCTAGTAATAATTAATAAATGAAACAAAACTAGTTGATCCTTTAAGTAATGTTCAAAATATTAATATGAAATATGAATAGGAATTAATTAATACTCAAGGAAGAATATTAAAGAAGATGAATCTTACTATAGTTAATATCAAGATGTTAACTAATTGTCATCTTAGTAACACTCCCCAATATTAAAATAGAGGAAAAAATAACTATTACTATAACTAATGTCAAGATGTTAACTAATTGTCATCTTAGTAACACTCCGGCCAACATTGATATAGAAATAGTATTTAAAGGAAGAATTAATATTCAAGGAAAGAAGTTAAGAAAATAACTCACAACTTTAATAATCAACAAGCTTCAAGAGCAACACCAAGAAATGGAAGTTTAGCTCCTCATTTGGAGACTAAACATGCTATAAAAATATAAAAGAAATACTATTCTAAGTTGAGGTTAAGAGTATGGAAGAAGGGAT